GCGGCTGGTTCAATAAACACAGGGGGAGCGGTCACAGAGTTTATCGCCTCCACTGTGACTGACTACTGCTGCTGATCAGGCACAAGCAACTCCAACTCTCCCTCCATTTAATAATGAAATCACTGCTCCTTACTGCACACATACTGTATAAGCTAATATTCAACTTGAAATAATCTGTCGCTGTGGCAGATGAAAAATAGCTTCCTGATTTCGCTAACAGCAAGTGAGGAGGACGGTAGTGCCTCGGCTCGGACTCAAACTTCCCCCGCTAAGCTACACCTGCACTGTTTCTGGCTCCTCTGGAATTGAAAGCCTGATTTTCTTTTTCCTCTAATCTATTGATGCAGGAAGTCAATAATGTAGATTTAAAGCGTCATAGTGAACAAATGAGTTAGACATATATGTTTGATATTCAATTGAGGCTTCTCTCTTATTCAACTTTGACTGTTACGTTCTTCAGAGTTGACAGTCCCCTGGAGGCAGGGATGACTGATGACGGTGGTATGTACTATAACATATACATGCTGTCGTGAGGCTGATTGGGTCTCAGAAGACCTTATTCTTGCTGATCTCACATACTAACGGACATACGCTCTCTTTCACCCTTTTTATGTCGGCCATGCACAGACAAAAAAAGGTGTCAAAGCTTTTATTATGCAAAGATCTTTTAGAGTAGAGGACGTGCACAGTGTCCTTTAAACACAAGCACAAACTGAGCTGTCAGCAGAGCCCAAGTACCTAAAGAAGCAGCGAGAGAAGGTACAGTGCATTTACTAAATTTTCAGTTGTTTCACATGAAAACATCAAATGTAAGATTGTGGTTTAGAGAAAAGATTTAAAAGAATCTGTGATGGTCATTTTTCACCAGCTTCATACAGCAAAGAACAGTATCCTATTTGATATTTGCTGTTTATGGATCTATGAGGAGGGTCATGATCCATTTTTAATATCTGTAAACTGCTAAAAAAGTAATACAGGGTAGAAAGCTATATATTTAAAGTGACCTGTTTTTTTTATTTTAATGTTACCTCTACCAAGGGAGTTATGTTTCCCCCCTGTTGGTTTGGTGGGTCTGTCTGTTAGTCAGCAGGATTACGCAAAAACTACAGAATAGATTTGCAAAAAACTTGGTTAGGACATTGGCCAAGAATAATTCCATACATTCTGTCAAAGATCTGGATCCAGGACATCTTTTTATCACTCTATTTAACAAGAGATGGAGCATTATTTTTTTTTACATTTTTGCATTATGAAAGAATCAGATGGACTGTGAACAGTAAAAGTCTTGATCTCGTGAATTTAAATGTGCTTTTAAAGGGGAATAAGTTTTCTTTCAGCCGCTGTAGAGAAGCAGATGGATCTACAAACCTGTAACTGTCTCCAATAAATAGCTAAGATAGCGTGGATCCACTAGGGAATCCACAGTTCTTCAATATTTCAAGCTCAAACAAACACCACAGATCTGTTGTGGAATTCAAGGACTGTTGGGCCTTGGTAGAGGTATATACTCCACTGGGTGTCATTCTAGTTATTTATTATTTTGTTACAGCAGAAAATAATTCAAGTTGTGTGTGGACAGACATCAGTCAAACTTGGAAAGTGCTTCCAGCAGAGTTGAAAAGTGTGAGTGATTTCAGACGACCCTGGTTCTGGAAATATGGGGTCTATTCGTTTTCTACTACAAAGATGTTATGTGATTGACAGATGGAGGACCCCCAAGGCATGAAACTCTCCTGATTGATTCATCAGTATGAAGTCACACGTCCATAGCATCAGCTTCTGGAGGTGGAGGGTATTGTAGAACTCAGAGTCAGCATTTCCAAAAGTTTTCATTGAAAGAAAAGAAAGAGAAAGTGATAATTTAGAGTAAGGAAAAATAATTCTTGAAACCAGTGCCTTTTCAAATTATTAAAAAAACTATAGTTAACAAAGCAATTTGTTCTGAGTGTGTTCTGAGATGAGTCTCAGCAGCAAGTGTAAATTAGTTTTTCTAGGTGCAAGTTGCTTCTCCTTTGTGCATTACTCACGCTAAACTTCTCTCTATACTAGTGTCTTTGTAATATCTTTGTGCACTAACTAGCAGGTTTGTACATGTGCTATACAGTATATGGTATGGAAGTGGAGCACAGCCAAGACATATGCATGTTACATACTGTGTGATGCTAATCAAAGCTCGTAATATATGTGAAAGATTTGCTGCTCTGAGATGATATGTTAGAACATTGTGTCGGTCGGGTGTTGGGTTTGATCCTCCTTTCAAACGATCTGGTGCTCGGCACTTTAAGGGTAATGTTCTCATTAAAGCTCAGACACGCTGAGAAGAAAGGACTGTGTGCATGTTTTAATATATATGTGTGAGTGAAGTCATGCGTACACTTACTTGTTAGCATAGGAAAATAACTCATATAGTTCCCTTTGTGATGCTTTCAACTATCTAGTCTAAATATATTGTGTGTGTGTGTGGTGTGTGGTGTGTGACTCTCCCTATGGCCACTTTAACACCCAACTTGTTTGGTCTGGCTCTTCTGACCTTTTCAGTTCAGGTGTGGAAGGTGTCTCACTTTGCTCCAATGGACCAAAAGTAGTGAGATCAAAAGAGGTGGTCTCAGCCCAAATCAAACTGAACCATGGATCAATTTGTTTGCAGTTTGACAACTTTTTTTGGAATATAAATAAATAAATCAGACTAATTTCAGGAAGTTGAAATAGAATTTAACAACAGAAGAAGAAATGAGGCGAAAGCAAGTCACAGGAGTGCCTGCAGTCTTTCCCTCTGGCATTATATATTTACGTAGGCATTGCTGGTTGTAATGTTATTTACAGTGGAAATGAAATCAACAAAATGAACCAGATCATTCATTTTCTGATTTCAAACATAAAGACTCATTGTTTAATGCAATATATTAAAAAAAGATGGAAAATACAGTAGGCAAAACACCATTATGCTATTCAAGCAATAGAGACAGGGCGTATCTGTCAGGCAGAAGTTTCCCTTTTACTAAATCTAACCAGATCAAATGTAAAAAAAAGACATGAAAACGCCCTCTGTGTATGTGAGAGCTGCACTGGACAGGAAGAAGACACATGTTAGAACATCAGGACATCTTGAAAAGATCTCATGGTTTATTCTCAAGGTGGAGAGACACAGAGGAGCAGGACGACATGATGTATGAAACCATTTTGTCTCTAACGCCTAAATACTTCTGCTGCATTGTGTGCCACTGCCATTACACTATAAGCCCCAGGCTGCTTGGTGATGGCGAGATAGGAGGACAAAGGAAGAGGAAGACAGAGGAGTGAGATAGAAGGAGAGGAGAGGGTTGACCCGTGTGATAGAGAGGTTACGTAATGTCATGCATTACTAATAGAAGAGGAGAGACTCACTCTCTCACTCTGATGAATCTCCACAGCCCTGCTCCAGTGCTAATAAAGGAAGTGATGTGACGTCTTTACCCACAGATTAAGATTGAAATGGAGCTAATGTCATTACACAGTGTATGGTATCTTTATAGGATACAGATCACTGACTTCATGGGGTGGCGCCTCTTCTTTAGACAGGATGTTCTATTAGCCGAGCAGCTGAGACCATATTGAAAATGATCATATGCAGTTTTGTTGAACCTGAAACAGTTACTCTCTCTGCTAACCTGTCAGTTGAGCCAACGCAGTGATGGAGCTCATATTATTATACATAACTTATTGTGTAGCAGCTGGTCAGAGCCAGGCGATAAATTGTTTATTCATATAAACAGTAAACAGGGCTGTGTGTGTCTTTCGAGGGAAGAAGGTCGAACTGAACTGAGACATTCAGGACTATTCAAGGATTTCCATGATTTGCATCACCTGCTTGTCCTGCCCTTACCGCTATCGCCTAGCAACAGTGCAGGATTGTGACACAACCAGAAAGTTTCAATGTTCCTTTGTTTTTGTCATCATGTGTTTCTTTAACTGTCTAGTTGAGTTGAAGGCCGATGCTTACATTTGTAAAGCAAAGTGATTTCAAAGTGATGTCGTCTCTACAGAGGCCGCCATATTTTTTTTTACAGTATCAGACTGGACAAACTAAACATCTTTTGAGTTTTATGACAGCTGAAGTCTACCACACGGTCTCTTTCATGTTCGATAGGAGAGATGAGGTGAGGGGTACTCAGCAGCAACATGCAACTCAACAATAGATGTCACTAAAATCTACACACTGCACCTTTAAGCCAAGACAAGACAAGGAAACGTATAGAAGTAGCTTTGAGTTCACTCAAACTCCTGTAGAAAAATTAGATGAGTATTGAGTTTCTTATCAAGATTGACTTTTTAACTGTTGTTTCCATAAATATTTATTAGCTTCAGTAACGTCATTAAGTGTAGATGCAATAAAAAAAATAAAGCAGAGCAAGAGGGGGGCTGACTAAACAGGTCAGGGCTGTCCCACTCTGGATTAATAGCTGCTTGTTTGCTGAGTGTATTTTGTGCATATCTAAGCTGGCATGGTCCCCTAGGTGAACAACAGGGATGACAGGCAATACTGCAGAGCAGGGAGAAGCAGAATGCATAAATATGTGAGGTGGGCCGATGGTGGATCCCTCGGTAGAAGAGCAGATGAGGTGAAGGAGGTAGCGAAAAGGAGGAGGAGGAGGAGTGGATGAGTAATCTGAGCAGGCTGTCTCTGTATCTAACTGTTATAGTCTTTAAATTAAAGAAATCCAGAGACTCATACATAGAAGTTTAACTGTCATATCAATGTTTTGGGTTAAGAGATGTCATGGCTGGTGTTAAAACTACAAATGAGGCTGTATCTGTGTTGTCACTACTCTCTTTTTATTTATTTACTTAGGGTTAAAAAAAAAAATAGTGTAAAAAGAATTTCCCCTTGAGGGATCAATAAAGTATCTCTTCATCTCTTCTTCTTGAAGGGCTGCATTTCTTTGCAGCAGGATGCACGCCAGTAACAGAGTTACTACCCAGTTACACCATCAAAATAAACTCTCGTATCTTTTCATCCACAGTTGGATGTATCAACCACAGACTTCGCTGGAAACCTTGTGGATGGTCCCACCTTACTACTGATCACTGTCATCGACCAAAATGACAACCGGCCCATCTTCAAAGAGACGAGATACTCTGGAGAGGTGCTGGAGGGATCTCCCACAGGTTGGTGACATTGTTATATTAAAGGACTCCAGGGACAACTGGGGACTCTTATTGGATTTAGCTGGGCAGCGATATTTTGCACACACTGATGTGAAGAGATGTGTCTGATCTGCGGTGTGGTACAGTCGTGATGATGAAATATATATTTGTTTCCTGACGGTGGTTTTTATGTGTAGCTGTGGTGATGGATCCAAACACAGATTGCAAATTGAGCATAGCTGAATAATTAAAGCACTTAAAGACCAGCATCTTTAATGAGATCACTGAACTTTTACATACAGTTAATATTTTAAGTTGCAGAGGCACTTTAGCAGATATTATGGTCTACATTACACCTGTATATACTTGAGATGCCATTTCATTAGTTGGTAACATTTAACGGTACATTTCAGCTGGCAAGCTGCTACCCATCTAGGCTGTATCCAGTTTCATTCATATTTAAAGGGGTAATTCACTCATTGTGCAGATGGAGGGGTGGGTGAAGTGTTTGAGACCACAAAACACTTCTGGAGTCTCAGCGTTGCAGCCAAATTCAATACCATTAAAGTATATGGCTACCAATTCTTCAAATGTAAAAAAACAACAGAAAAAAAAGCCTCCATATTGCTCCTGTGGTTTCATCCAAAGCCCCGACATTCAAATTCAACTGGAAACAGCATCATTAGGCTGCAACACTGTTCACCCCTGAAACTCCAAAAATGTTTTGTGGACTCAAATTGTTCACCCACCCGTCCATCGGCACAGTAGTGAGGAGATAATGAGTGAATTTTCCTTTTTTCAATGAACTATCCCTTTAAGCGAACCTCAATGCTTCATTTATCAATCATAGCGTTAAATACGTATGTGATAAGTCAACTGCAGAAAAAGTGCTGTAAAAAGCCAAAGCTGTAATTGAATCAATAATTGGTGTGATCTATATTTGCCTTTAAAACAGCTCCAGTTCTCCTCAGTAGACATGCAGATATTTTCTTTTCAAAATAAGTTTTAACATCTTTGAGAACCTTCCACGGGTCTTCCGTGAATTAAGGTGGTTTCAGTATCTCCTGTCTCTTCATCTAATCTCAGACTGACTCAGAGATGTTGAGATCAGGCCTCTGTCTGAAGCCGGACTCCTCTTTCTTCTTGTTGAAAATGTTCTTACTCTGGCTGTATGTTTGGAAAGCTGTCATCCAGACCTGCAGGTATTTTGCATTGCAGATACACATTTTGATATCTGAATATGTTGGCATAATTTGCCACACTGGCGATGCCATTTGAGTTTGACCAATGGTGCAGTACTCAAGTCCGAGCCAAAGAGAGAAGAAGAGTTTGAACAGTAGATAACACAGAAAAAATTAAAGAGGCTGTAGCAACACAGAATGCAATAGTGATGACGACTGTGGCAGAGGAGGTGGAGGGGATCATCCAGAAAATAGCAGGGTTGGTTAATAATCCTGTCTAGTTGTCGGAAGTGTCCTAGAGTAGGAAGTTGCTGAAGCTAAGTTACTCCCTAGCTACTAACGTAGCTCCTTGTTTTTTAAAAGGGTTCAGGAGTGATTGGACTTGGTTGTTGATGCAGCACCTCTCATTCTTCTCCAGTTGTGAATGAATGTCCTGTATCTCAGATGCTAAACCTCTGTGGGACCATCATCAAGGCCATTGGTGTCCTTTGGCTCATCAGTGCTTGTGCCGGAAGGATTTAATGCAGGACTCTTGTATTAATTCTAGCTAAGTGTGCCAAAAAAATGGACAACTGAGGGTAAGTTATAAATCAGGGAGTTGTTGTTGACTGCTTCCAGTCTATATCTGAAGTAGAAGGGCGACTCGGCACCACCTCTGCTTGTCATTGAGAACATCTCATGGTCAAATGGTTGAAAGTGAATCATTTTGAGGCGAGACTGGCAGAGTCTTTGAGAAGAGTCTTCAACTCCGGCTTCTGCTGTAAATCTTCTCCCTCCCTCACATGCATATGTCAGTTTGTCAGAGTAACTTCTTTTTGGTTTTCTGAGCTGTTGTCACCGCTATCACTGTTATTTTTGTGAAGCAGCATTCGTGAGAGACATTTCGTGCCCTCACTGAGATGGAATATAAATAAATGTGTTCTTTTTTTATGTACAGTATTTCTATTTCTGGAGAGGTTTACTGTCTTTGACTAATCTTATGCAGTGTCATATCGTGTGTGTGTGTGTGTGTGTGTGTGCGTGTGGTCTTTAAAGCAGGGGAAATTAGCGGTGGTGTGAATTATCATCCACCACACAATGACTATTTGTGACTTGATGCTTTTGTGGAGGCCACTACTTCCTGGAAAAGATGTCCGTTGCCGTAAACTGCCATGTTCCATTTGGCTTTTATTGTTGAATGGTTTCCTATACAAGGCAAAGGATTTGGATTCATATTTCCTCTCCTGCAACACAATGAAAACAGGTTTCCTTTATGGTGAGACTTTGTTGTAAACCTGCTCTGGACTGTTGTGCTTTGTAGGTGAAAGGAAAAAGTGATTGATTTGATTTGCGGTTGTTATTTCCAGTTCTTGGTTGTACATTGTTTCCAACTGCGATAGTTACACTGCATGGTGCTGATGATGAAATTAGGAAAAATCAGTTGCTTCACCCTGTGAGCTCCTGCTGTTCACCACGCAATCCTTACCTAACCATTCACAGAAATAAAATCGTGCCCCTTAGGTCCAAGTGTCTTGAGGGCAGTGCACAGATTTTTTGCAGAAAGACTGTAATCCTCGTGAATTTAGAAGTAAAAAGGACAGACAATAAAATAAATCCGCTAAAACTAAAACTTGCAATGCCTCTCACTTTGTTTGTTCTCACATCATCATTTGCACAATAAGTCAACAGACAATTTAATCACTGGCAGAGCTTCTGAAATAACACACACACACTGGTCGAGCTTCCCATGGAGATATGTTAAGTGGTTGTCAACTTCATGCTGTAGTTGTTTTGTGAATTGCTAATACAGACATTGCCTATTCAATGATATACATCAGGAATGCAACGGCACGTCATTACTGGCTGTGGAGAATTGGAAAAGTATAGTCTGACAAACATGCACATTCAATTCTTGTTAGAATAATTCAGTCAAACTAATTGTCAGGAACCTGCACAATTATTTTGAGGGTCTGTCGCTCAAACTGTAAATACCTGAATGGTGGGATGTATGTTTTTTATATCAATATAACAATATTTATATAATATGTTTACATTATATATGTTTTTCCCCGTTTTCTAGTATAATTCTGCCTGATTCTCATGCTTTTGTGCAGCATCTATTGTTTTTCCTCCCACTGTTACTTGCGTTACTGTTTTTATATAGAAACTCTCGCACACTGAACATTAGCCTCATATCGACCTGATGTGTCCCCTGCTGCTCTGCATGCTCGCCCTCACTCTCTGGTCTGGAGCCATGTAGTTGGGCCTCATCTTAAAATAAATTATTAGGATCAAAATTAAGAATACCATTATCCACCTACACTTTAATGCAACCACCTGAATTCTGATGGATGCTGACAGGGATGCTGAAAAATGCATTGGTACCTTTACTGTATCTTTTGTCTTTCCTGCACACTCTACATGAAACTACAGGCTTACGTAATGCTTGTGTGTGAAGTTTCCAAGTTTGTGTGTGCGGTTCCCACAGACTTGACCACACATGACTAATTCCCATCAGGGAAATCTCTTATGGATTCGGCTCCAGACAGATCTCAACCTCCCAGAATACCTGAGTCATCACGCTGGGGTAGTTTCTTAGCCCTCACTATGATTAGCTTGCAACTTAACTCTGGCTTCTGCGAACTCAGCACCAATACATTTTTAAAAAACCCATTTCACATTACTAGGTTGGATCTGATTTCATCCATCAGAAAACTTCTTTTGACTTGGCCCGATAGAATTCAATTTGGTTTAAATGCAATTATCTTGTTTTTTATTGTATTTCTGAGAAAGCAAAGATTTTCAAAGAGGGGTTTTATCCCTGTAAAGTGCTTTTTCCTAAATGGATTATAAACAAAGTGGACAAAACAAAATGAACTGAAATTTTATTTTACTTTCACCATGTTGTGGTCTGACAGCTCCTTGGTAGTTTAGTTTCCATGGATGCCGGATCCAATCGATCTCAGAGATAAGATGAAGGGTGCAGCTTTAGAGAGCATGTTTCTTGCAAACGCCCGCAACTCTGTGTTCTAAATAGTTCACTTAGTCGACACGTCAGTGCAACCTCGGATATCTGTCGAGTAAGAAATGAATCATTTAAAATAATCTAAACAACTAATCTGTCAGTTCCCCGTAAAATCCCTGGTCAGTTAGCTGAACATTTCAAAGGATTTTTTAGTGTGAGTATGCCACTCCAGAAAGTTAAATCACAGACGGACGTCGCTGTAAAGCAAACAACTAACAAGTTCACCCTGCCAAAAAAAGAAACATAAAATATAAATATATGTGCAGATAAAAAGGTTTCCTTGCAGCTAATATTGATATTCTTATCTCAACCGTCTGGGTGATTTTAGCACAGCAAAGGTTGCATCTTTGAAGTTTCAAAAGAGAATTGAAATTCCTTTTCTTGGACATAATGAGTGATGATTTTACTTTGTCTCTACTGCTGTGTTTTCACTAATTAGCTGAACAGAAGTATTTTTTTATAGAATTTGTCACTTTTTTGTTTTGTCGTAGTGCTAAAGTATTTTACTTCTCTAAAACATCTCTCTGTTTAGCATGCATTACACTGTATACCATTCATTACATCATGCATGTATGTTCATTATGTTGTATCTTGTATATCAAAGAGCTGGTTGAGGGTTAAGACTTGGTTTTGGGGTTAGAGTTAGGTTTAGGTTAAGGATTATTAGTTTGGATGGTTAAGGTTAGTATAAGGGGCTAGGAATTGTATTACGTCAATGAGTATCCTCACTATGTGTGTGTGTGTGGGTCCAGGTATTACACACATTGTTAGGGTCTAAATCTGTTTACACAGTCAAATAATGGGGATTTATGTAAATAATACAATTTTAACTTGAG